ATTTTATTTTATTATTTTTATCAATTGGATGTTTAGACATCCATAGAGTTTACTGCAGCCTGTTCGCAGCAAGATTTAAATTTTTATTTGGACAAATAGTTCAGATCAGACCATTGTGAAAAATATCACAAAATGTTTAGAAAATAAACAAAAACTCATTAGTAAGTGAGAGACAAGAGTAAAATTTTGAGCATCTGTTTTTTCATATATTTGCAAACATTTTCCAAGTCATCAGTATAAATAAAAATAAAAAATAAAAAAACGTAACATTTCTGTTAATGATTCATTTGGTTCCAATTACCTTTTTGTTCATTGTTTGCTCTGAGGCACCGTTGCCAATAAAGGTTGGTGAATTGAAGTACCGGTAGGCACTTTACACATCCACTGAAGAAAATAGTTCCAAAACATATTTGAATAAGGAGGACAACGAAATGTATTTATTTACATTGAGAACTTTTGCTACATCGGTTTTACATTTGTTAAACCGATGTAGCACTCTCAAAAATTAATCTTGTGTTTCTTGGAAAACGTAAAATGACCCGCGGATGGATATGCGGTTTCAAAATCAAGCCTGTTCTCTTCATCAGTCCGTTGGCGCGGAGTCTGCCTGTTGGCTGATCTACGAAAGAATCTGTAAGTACATTTCTTCTGTTTTACCTAGTACCAAATTTTAGGGAGAGATTTTAAATCGCTTGTTAAAAAATTGTTGCTCGTAACAAATCGGACGACAGTATCCCAAAAGAGACTTAATTGTTATTGTTATTTTTGCTTTTCTTTAGGGTGATACTTTTTCTGATATTGCTAACACACACAGCTACACACAATAAGCAGATTTTAGTGCAGACCGATTTCAAACGCAGCGTTGTGGGCCAAACCATTTTCAAATACCGCCGCCATTCTATTTGTTGAGCTGCCATTGGTTCATTTGAGCGCCAACGAGGCAGAATGAAATCGGTTCACTGAAGAATCTATGTTGCTAGCAGAGGTTGTTACAAAGTGTCTGGACACAATAAAACCATTTGTATGATTTAAAAAGAGTAACTATTGTGCTTTCATTCTATGTACTTGGGCTTTTAATAATCTTTCTCACAGTCACATCAGCATGCATGGGTGGGTTCATGTATGGATTCAGGCTGGTTTGGCTGGGACCCATGCAAGATTATTATTGTCGTTTTTTTCAATAAAACTGCATTGAATCGTTTAGCTTTGGGCTATATAGGTAATGATAAGAGGGCATGGGTTTTATCTGGGCCAACTGCGTGAGGCTCAAAAGGTTAACCGAAAAAATGGGACTCATATTGTTGGCTCAATTGGGTTAAATGTATGGGCCCAATTCAGCATTAACGTGGGCTAACTGGGCATGGGACAGAAATGGGAACACTATATGGGGCCCAAGTGGTTTCAGTATATTGGGCCTAAAAGGTTTTTTGTAAATAGGATGAAGGCATTGTAGTTCATATTTTTAAATTCTTTTTTTAATTGTTGTGTGACACTTTAAAGCGTTTTGTTATGTCATAGTTTATTTCAATCTGCCGCTATTGTGTTGGTCTAGAGTAGTCATCAGTGTCAGGGTTCCTGTGTGTGTATGTGAGTGTCGCATCTTATTTCAGCGAGGATCTTTGTGAGGAGCCCGTGGAGCTTGGCACAGGTGGAGGAGCAGCAGAATCTTCAGTCTACGCTAGATTGACTGAAGATTCTACTGTGTGTATGCTAGATGGTTGCATACACCGGTAGTCACTCTGGCCTCTCCTGTTGTGAACAGTTTTCTGAGAACGTTTCTGTGTCTACTAGAAGTCACCTGGTCTCTGTGTTTGTTCGATCCTAGGGGTTTTGTCGCCTCATTCGAGAACTCACCAGTGAATACCTGCGTGCTCGCTCCGCCGATTCCACTGCCTCCACTCCACCCTTCGAGCTTCCAGCTCTCTTCCATTCCCACCTCGCATTTACCTTCGGAACCGCTGCACACCCTCTCTCAGGAACCTGGCATCTCACACCCACGCCTCGAAAGACCCGCACCGAAGTAAGCCTGTTCCTGTTTCCCCTCCGATCACTCATTCTAAGCCCGTCAAACTAAGTTCTCGTTTCAGGCCAACCTGGTCGAGTGGTCCTCACCCTTCCGCTGATGTCCGGGAAATAGATTTTATTTTGTCCTGTTGTAAATAAATCACTCACTCATCCCTATCCAACGTGTGGTTACTGCATGTGGGTCCGTAAATTGAAACCCATCATGTCAATCAGTGGCCAAGCCTGAAACAAATATTGAAAGATGAAGAAATTCTTTTTGATATTTTTGCAATATTTAGCTAGCAGTTATGTGAAATGTACTTATATTTAATTGTAGCTCTAATTTTTTTATATGTGAAATGTTTTAGGCTTTATTAGTTACATTTATAGTGATTTTCTAAACTGTTCTTAGGATTAATACTACTGTTTTAGTCCTGTCACAGTACCATATAAATGAGTATAATTGCATTAATGAAACTGTTCAGTGTTTACAATATATGGCTACAGTGATTACTTGATACAAAGGCTGTTTTGCCTTAATATTATTTTTTGGAAAAGCCCAAATGTTGCATTAATAAAATGTATTTCTTTGCAGACTTCAAGAGGATCAGCGTGTGAAGATCACTTTATAATGATTTGAAAAAGGTAGATTAATATGTTAGTGAAATTAAGCACATAAGAGTGATATAATAACAAACTGATGAACAAAAACAAAATGTTGTCCTGTTATTGTCATTGTACTTAAGGTTGCCATGGCTACAGAAATTGGAGGAGCATCCTTAGATGACACAATACAACCAGCTGTGCGATTCCTCATGTCCCATGAACTGGAAGTCCAGTTCAACCTTTTTGGCCAACATTGGAAACAAGCTCTTGGACCTGCGTCTCTTTGATGTTTTGTATGGTAAATATCAGTTTTTATTGTCAGAGTAACTTTTTTTTTTCACTTTTCTTTCTTAAACATATGTTAATTTATTTGGTTGTTTTATGCTTTTGTTTGTTATTTTTAGTAATGTTTTTAGGTTAAAAATTGAGTCTTCAATTTTTGGTTTTATTTGAACAGTATTCTTTCACTGTTGTTAAGAACTTAAAAATTTGAAGGTAATATTGTTTGCATTTCAAACAATATTAAAATAACCACAAAACCACGATAGAACCTATTAGTTGATTTATATAGATGGATATATTTTAAATTTACAGTAAGAATATAGTTTCTGTACATAATAATGATGACTCAAGAGTCCTTTTGATTATGGCATATCTCTGCAAGCATTTTTGCCCCATGAAGGGGGAGATGCAAATCATGAATGTTACATTGTGCTAAAATGAAACACTAATACAATTTCTACCTTTGCTTGTTATTTCAGGGGACTTAAAAGAAATTATCCATCTACAGAATCACACAAGCATACAGCAAAGACTCTCGAAGTGGTTTACTGGAGCCCGAGTGGAAGTGGAAATAGACTAGAGAGACTGCCAGTTCAAACTCAGGTTGGGGAGGTCTTTCAAGATGGACAGTTTCAGTAAAGTATGAGAGATTTCAAATTTAAGCATGCATATGGCATGTAGGTTATTTTTAAAAATGTTTAACAAAAATGTATTGTGAAAGATCTATATAGGTGTGTATATTCACATTGTGTGTATCAATGTGAATATACGTGTATAAAGTTATATAGATAGTATTTAGATGTATACATTTATAGACCTGTAGGAAATATGTAGGTGTCTTTATTTGTGTGCATCTATAGATATATATTTATAGATCTGTTTATAAGTTTGTTATAGTAAACTAGCTTCTGTTATTTTCAAAGATGTCGTGAATAATTGCAGATTTCTTTTTGTGGCACCATTCCCTGAGTATTAATGAAGTTCTAATAATTGCTGTAGTGAGGTAAAAAATAACTCCTGACAATATTTTAAATTACTAAATAAAAGCCTTGAGCAAAATAAATTTTTCATCTCTTTTTTTTTATTTTTTATTTGAACACGTTTTAAGCTAGACTTTGGATTGTTGATCAAGATTGCATATCTATGAATTCACATCCAGGTTAGATGAGAATTGTTCCTACAGGATTAAGGCATCTGGGTCCCACTGAAAACCCAGTCAGCACCCATTGAAATCAACCTGGGCAAACCCATGTGGGGCCACCATGGAAACCGTGGACAAACCCACTTGGTACCCATTCTAGCCCAGTTCAGACCCAATTGGGACCCACGAAATATTCTTGACAGCACCCTAGTGGGCCACAGATGGGCCTCATGTGAGTTAACCATGTGGGACCCACTGAAAACCCAGTCAGCACCCATAAAGATTTACTTGGGCAAACCCATGTGGGGCCACCATGGAAACCGTGGACAAACCCACTTGGTACCCATATTCTAGCCCAGTTCAGACCCAATTGGGACCCACGTAAATATTCTTGACAGCACCCTAGTGGGCCACAGATGAGCCTCATGTGAGTTAACCATGTGGGACCCACTGAAAACCCAGTCAGCACCCATTAAAATCTACTTGGGCAAACCCATGTGGGGCCACCATGGAAACCGTGGACAAACCCACTTGGTACCCATATTCTAGCCCAGTTCAGACCCAATTGGACCCAGGTAAATATTCCTGACAGCACCCTAGTGGGCCACAGATGGGCCTCATGTGAGTTAACCACATGGGCCCCACTGAAAACCCAGTTAGCACCCATAAAAATTTACTTGGGCAAACCCATGTGGGGCCACCATGGAAACCGTGGACAAACCCTTTTGGGACCCATATTGCCTGCCCACTTATATCCCATATGGGGCCCACCTAGGTGTGCTGGCTGGGATCTGCACCAAATTTATGACTAAACCACAGTTCCAACATAATTTTGTTTAAAATGGAACTTTTACATTTTACTTTTATTAATAATACAAATACATAAATAAATAAATAAATGAAATACCCCAAACCTAACATTTTAAGAAAACATTTAGAACTTTAGTAAGATTGTTGTCAAGCTTACCTCATGTCTTTTTCCGAACACAGTCCTGTCCTTTAAGTATAAACTCAGTGGGGAGAGTTTAAAGCTCTGGATATGTCATCAGTGTTGATTGTGTGAAAAATCCCAAAATTTGAAATGAAAAGAGTAAAAACTGGTTATTTTTTCCAATTATGAGTCATTTAGCCACTAACCAGAAGTACACCAGATAATAAAACATTATTTTTCTATGTTAAAATGAATAATCCAGTCCAAGGTAATACCCTTCTGGGAGCTCCATTTTCACAGAAACCTTTTTTTGCAGGAGGAGCAAAACCAAACATTGAAAGAGGACAATTAGCTGACAACTCACCTGACAAGAAAGAAAACCTGCTCGATCAAGTTCTTAACCCCAGACATCAACCAGCAGGGCAGCGTGAGTGTGGTGTGGCTGCATCAGGTTTGTGTCAGTCAATGGGCCCCAAAAATAGTCGTGCACAAGGAGAGGACAGCGATCTGAGTCCTCCGCTCTTCCCAAGGCTGTCTCAAAGTTCCCAGGTGGTGGTAATGCTGTCTGAGGCACGATTAAACAAAACATGGGTGGGGATGGTAGGCGGAGAGAGGAGCACAAAACATCAGGGGAGGGAAGGAGGTTTACAAAAGCCTTTGCTCTTATTAGCACATGTAAAGTCAATCCTTTCTGTCTAACAAAGACAGAAAGGATTCTCATCAGTTCTAGGAAATCCCTAGACTTCAGATTCCTTTGTTCTGGACAATTTGTATGGAAGATATGTGACAAATTTAAGAATAGAAACATCACCGATGTTAAAAAAAGAAATGTGTTGCAGTCAAATGAATCATTACAGATATATAGAATATTTTCCTGCACCATTTCAGAACAATCCAGTGTAAAAGATACCCTCTTCATCATGCTGCTATCACCATGCCTGACTATGCAATTCATGAAGTGAGGCCTAAAATCTTTCAGACGAACAATCGGAAATTTTTCCTGTGATGTGTTTTAATGGGTGTAAAGACTTTGTCTATCATTGTCTATAAGTTAACCAATTGTCCTTTATTCCCCTTTTATAAGTAAGTGCATGCATTTATATACATATATATATATATATATTATATATATATATATAATATATATATATATATATATATTATATATATATATATATATATATTACCAGTTCTGTAATTTGGTGTATTCAAACTATTTTGTTTAATTTGAATCCAAATTCTGCTCCAAGGATGCCAGAACCGGTTATCAGATTTTTGACAAAGGATCAGTGGAAGCCTAAAAAGCACAAATCAGTGGGAATTGTAAAGGGACAGATCATTTTGTCCCCTTCACTTGTCTTCTTGATGAAGGCATGAATATGCAGCAGAGCGAGTTGTTAGCTATTTTCCATTTTTGACATCCTGGCCCTGAAGGTCATGACAAAAAAAAAAAAAAAAAAAAAAAAAAAAAAGAAGGGACATATCAGTTTTAGTAGTCAATCAAACAAAATTTAGTTACATCAAAAAAAATAAATATGCACACTTGTAAGCCAGTAGTGTACTTTGTGGATGTTTGTGAAATGGGATACTGTTGTATGGCATAAAACATAAACCAAAATACAAAATGCACAGGCCTAGGCACAATCTGAGGGCTGCTTCCTACATTAAGATCTTGGGCTCTGCTTAAAAATACCCGGAACACCGAGCCTGACAATTCCCAGTCAACACCTGACACCGGGGCACTCCCACTTCACAGTCAGGACTTCGGCAGGTTTGGTCTTGAAGTTATGCAAAAAAAAAAAAAAAAAAAAAAAAGATTGAGTACATTACGCAATGCGTAATGTATTGGCGAGCGTTTTTCTAGTTTCTACTGCCGATCAAATACACTTTTAATTATTCTGCAGACATGTGCTTTCTGGAAATGCTGGCCGGTTCATGAAAAACAGCTGCGGTGCTGGGAGCTCCTTTCCAGACGTTACTACAGAGAAACACAAACGGGTCCAACAGCATTCAGGAAGCAAACCACACCACCCACAGCTTTTGAAACCCTCATTCTCAGCCTCACGGCCACGCTGTGACAACGGAACAAAAGCACATTAATCAAGTCAAACGACATGCTGATGATAGTGGACATGGTGGCGTGCCCTCTGCGCCGTTCCTGAGTTCTTGTTTCGATTTTGATAAGCTCGTGTCACCGAAGCGTTGCTCTGATTGGGCAAGAGGTGAAAAAGGAAGTAACGAGCGTCGAGTTATTTTCCTGCATATAAAGCCATAGAAAAAGCGAGGTGCGGGACACGAAGGGGCACTTTTTTATTTTTAAATTGTTCAGGTGAAAGAAACGCCCTCCTTTGGTTATGTTATGGCGAGTGGAAGGCAGAGATAGATTAGTTTCACTTTTGCGACGGATTAATATGAAAGGTCACTCTTTCTTCCTGCTCGGCTCGACTCCAGGGGGGGAAATAAATACATAAATAAGTTTGGACTTACGCCTAATGAGCCGCGAGCCCGCGGAAATGGACCACGCGCGAGCGCCAGAAACACAGGACAGCAAGGTAACTAAATGAATACGTCAATACAGTGACGGGTACGCATTTAACGCTTAGCTTTGTTGGGTGTACACAGTGATGAAGCGTTTCAGGTTGTGGACCTGCCTTTCCTCTTTAAAGTAAAAATAAAAACGGTGGTTAATGGCTCTGTCAGGTCAGGACGTCAAAAACTCTTTATGGTCGTAAGTTCAGCGCAATAAGGATCACAAGAGGGCGCCAGTGAGCTTCATACGCATTAATTAATAAACGTGGGGTGATTTTGTGATTAAATACATTTGTAGAAATAGGCTACATTTGAAGTCGCAGACAAAATTCACATAAATGACATGTGTGAGATATTTTCTCTTTGGTACTGGTTTAAGCATTTAGATTAATACATAATAGGACAAGGTATTTATTTTAAATTGGTGCCATTGTTTGCATAATTTTTAGCATTTTGGTTCGTAGTTGTTAGATTAAAAAAAACTATACAATATTAATCTATTTATTTATTTTTTATAATTCCCAGAAATGATAAAATAAATATATATGTATTTTTAAGCTATTTATTTATATATTTATTTTTAATCCAGTGTTTTCTCACAGGATTGTGTTTCCCCAGTTCTTCATCTACTAACATTTACTGATTTATGTACCTCCTCACTTTTTTATTGAACTATGAATGTTATTTTAGTGTCAGAAAACAAAATTAAAAGTTTTTAATCTTTAAAGTTGAATGTTAAAGAAGTTTAAATGTGAAAACATTTTAATCTGTTTGCTATCAAAATGTTTCCTACCAGTTCTAATAATATCATTTTCTCCCCTCGCAGGCTGACAAGAGGCTGACTGGCAGCACTGCTTCTCCTGCCGAGGTACAGCCCGTTGACCCAAAATGACCTTTTTACTCTATAAACGATTCTGTAATTTTAGTATGTGTGAGGAATTATTTTATGCCTCAATACAGATTAAAAAGAGGCCAATCAGAAGAGTGAGAAGTCCATCTGCACCAAGAGCATGGCTATCCAGGTCTTACAAACCAAAGTTTGGAGGGCATGTCCACAAGCCTCGGTGAGGCTCAAAATATACTTATTAAACTATTACATAATCCATAAAGTATACGTTTGTAACTAATTCTACATAATTTTATTTAAATATCTTCCATAATGCAGTTTTCCAGGAGACCACCATTCATTTCACAAAGCTGGTTTCAGCAGTCAACACCACCACTACCTGAAGCATCGGGCTTACGTCCATTGCAAGGATAACCCTCCACCTAAAGTTTGGCTGCTCGCAATGAAGGAAAAGGAGAAGCAGCAGCAGCAGCAGAGGGAGAAAGAGAGGCCGAAGGAGAAAGAGAAGCCGAAGGAGAAAGAGAGGCCGAAGGAGAAAGAGAGAGAAAAGCAGCATCACGAGCAGAGAGAGAGCACTGAAAGAAGTTCACCTTCAAAACAAAACAGTAGGTTAATGTTTGAAGCAGAAACAATCAAAGTCACACACATCTCATACATTATACATCACTGCAAATCCAAATGTATTTTTTGTGTTTATAAAACAGCCCATAATAGGCCTATTCATTAGTTTATACAAGAGATTCACAAACAAATTTCCCAGTGACTCTAATGATCTTATTTTACCATTATCTTTTTTAGCATTTGTAACACTAACTGAAGTAGGAAGAAGACGTCAGCAAATAACAGGAAGGCTGATCATGTTGCAGAATGGTTTCTGTGTTTTATCTTCCACTGTTTTAGACATTTTAGAAACGTTTAAACTTCATAGTTATTGTAAGTTTTCTTATTTTGCAGCAAATGCATGAAGAAGCTGTTATTTACAGTTAATAATTTGTTAATCATGTCAACGATTCACAAATTATTTTGTTATAAAAGTTTTATTACTTTTATAACAAAGTAATAAAACTGGGTGGCAGAGTGTTGCAGTTGATAGAAAGAGAGGCCAACTGCTGGTGCCTGTGCAGCAAGAAGGTCCTGGTTCCCCCAGTCTGGGGTCTTTCTGCATGGGGTCTGAATTTGCATGTTCTCCCTGTGCATGCGTGTGTTCTCTCTGGGTACTCTATCTTCCACCCACAGTCGAAAAACATGACTGTCAGTTTATTGGTTTCTCTAAATTCTCTTTAGTGTGTGTGAGTGTGTGTGTGCATGGTTGTATATCCTGTCTGTCTCTATGTTGCCCTGCGATGGACTGGCAACCTGTCCAGGGTGTACCCCGCCTCTCACCTCAAACATTTGCTGGAGATAGGGACCATATGTAAATATATTTACAATATAGCTGAAATATATGTCCTTTCATCAAATGCTCTAGTAGGATATATTATAGCAATTGCAATGTATTAAATTGTGGTACTCTTGGCCTATTTTACAAACCATTATTTAGTAACTTACATTGGATGAAAAAACATTGTTCACTAAAACAGGCCAATGTGACTAATTGCAGTATGATAGGTTGCCACTAGATGGAAGTGTATTCAAGTTAAGGAACTTGTTTTCTTCAGCATTTTGCGCAACAAACCTTTGGAGGCAGTTGCTTGTTGTATCTGTTGGTAGGTAGGTAGAAATTCTAGTAGCAACAAACCAGAGTTACATAAAGCTGATCAGAAAGAAAGATCCATACACTGCTCTCAGTGTATGGATTATGCCATCAATGAGCTGCTTACTGGCCAGCTTGTTTCCCCCGTTTGAACAGTGTGGTGCTGCTTTTTTTTTCTGAGACACATCTGTTAGATTCTTAACAATGTCTTTGTGGTGTGTTAGTGATAGGAGTTCACAATTTATCAGTAGGAAGGTGGTATGTATCCATGGTTGTAACACTGAAAATCCACATATCAGATTTTTGCTGGTATAAACTGGTGCCGAGTATCTTTATCTTTCCTTGCACACAGCCATTTTATTTGTGCGCATACTGCAGCACTGTGGAGGTGTGTGTTTGTGCATGTGTGAGTGTGGAGCAGTTTTTTTTTGTGTTCCTGAGTGATGGTGCGATGATGGTGACTCATCGCTGATTTGTGTGTATATGAGAGTGTGAAAGATGAAGAGAGAGAGATTTACCAGCAGAACATAATGAACCATAACAAAGCTACGGCTTTACATGGGAATACTGCATTCCAGCACTGCAAAGGCTGGCAGGTCATGCAAAAATCTGTATTGATCTCAGATCTCAACGGTGGAAAAAATTAACAAGAAGTGGAACATCGGTTCAATAAAAAATACTTGTAAATATGCAAGGTGTTTTATCTTATTTAGTGTAGTGAAATCTCTCGCTGTGCTGCTGAGCTGACCTTGCGGTTTGTGTGTCTTCCAGCTTCTAGGCCTGTCTTACCAAGGTCCACTTCCAGCAGAGACAAGGACATGCAGATCACTGTAAGTTCACAGGCAAAAAATATGCTCCATTCTTACACATTCAATTAAAAATCGATATTAAAACCTTTAGAAACCCATCTTTAATTATTGTCAGTTTTTCTCTGCTAGATGTTTATCTAAAGAATGTTTTTTTTACCACAGTTGTTATTGATTTATTTGTTATAACTTCTACTAATTTAATGTTGATACAAAAAAAGGTAAATTAAAAGCTTAAAAGCTGAAGCCCATCTAAAGAGTCAACTTGAGAAGGTCTGTGACATTGAATGTTTTCAGCAAACATTCTTGTAATGTCTGGGGAATTATCCTCTGGTCCTTGGAACTGTATAAAAAAAAAACACTGTTCACAGGATGTGAACAGTGGTTATTATGGTCACTAAATTGTTTATTATGGTCACTAAATTAAATCTTCATGGTTAAAACTGTTTAAAATTACAGCAGAAAAAGTTTCTTAAAAGTTACACATAACTGGAAAGTAAGGCTTCGCAAAGAGCTTCATTTTGAAACTTGCAGATCACCTATTGGTGAACATTTAGAGAAGAGTCCATAAAGTTTCTGTTAAGGTTAGTGAAAGTTTTATTTTACAATATAACCTTTAGAAAGTATTTGAAGGACATTCCCTAATAGCAGCAATCCCAAATACTTTATTTGTTTTTACTTTATCAGATCAGAAATATAAAAAAGATTCTTACTTTTTTGACCAAGAAAATTGAACCAATTAACATTTATTCAGCAAATTAACATTTGCTGAATAAATATTCAGCAAATTAATATTTATTCATGTTGTAGCAAATTATGCCCTTAACTGATAAATATGATTTCTGATTGTTGTTATCATCATCAGCCTGCTCTGAAAAATTCCCTTTTCTTTAAGCTAAAAAGTCTTTACATTTTGTAATTGTTAAATATTTATTCTTCCATATGGTTGTTAATTTATGCATCCAGCAGGCATCCAGACAGTATTAACAGATTTTTATTTTTTGTTCTCCAGACAAGAGTGTGGAGGGTTTTTCTTTAGCTTTAATTGAAGTGGCTTAGGTGGCTGAAATCAAAGGATTGCATGGTTATCTTTGCTGATGTGAGCACAGTGGCTCCCTGTAGCGGCTGGTTGCTGCTACAGTGAGGCTGAAATGATGAGAGCCAAGGCTTTTTTTAAACTACGAAGATATTTGATAATGTATATTTTTGAAGATATTGTTTCTCTTTTTCTAAAATGTCTCTTTTTAGAGAAAATGCACATGAGCTGAGATGGTTAATGGTCACCTGGTGACAAAGTCAATGAGATTGCTTCACTGGCAAATCAGGATTGGAATTATACACACAACATCTGACTGATTCAATTAAACATGCAGATCTTGAAAGGCATCTGTAATCAAGTTCTCATTGGTTTGGTGGTTAGTAGTCCTCAAATTAGATTTTTTTCTGTTTTCATAATCATATGTGACACGCTTAGAAGATTTTAATGGAAAATTAAAATTTAGATGCAACAAATGCTGCTTCCAGTTGGAGAATATGTTTCCTATTTTTATATTTATTATTGTGATTTTCTTTTTTATTGCTTACTGCATTGTGCTTATGTTTGCGCCTACATATGTTACTGTTCATCTGGATTCATTTAGCCTGTTATTGATGCAGATGATACAATCTGCCGTCACAGCTTATTGTGAATTACGTTCTAAAATCTGGGTAAAATATAGACATTTGGTTTAAAAAGAAGGTTTTTATCAAACTTGCATTTAGAAATCCAGTGATGCACTGATTGATCTTTTAATTGCTTTTGCAGATTTAAATTAAATTTATATAACTCGACTGGTTACAGTTTCCTGGCCGATTACCGATTAGCCATCTGAAATGGGTCTGATTTTGATTTGACTGACAATGAAACGTAGCAAGAATATTGCTGAGTTGGCAACTGTGGGGTGACTATTGCTAACTGCAAACGTGAAGACATGACCTGGTGGGTGAGTGGATAAGATCGGCTTCCCACGTAAGTATTGGCTGATCACAAATTTCTCAAAACTTAGGAAATTAGGGCCATTTTATTTGCTGACTGATTTATTGGTGCACCCCATTTTTCACAACACTATAGCAGTTTAGAATCTAACATGAAGCTAAATAAACACACGGATGTCTGTCTCAGTTCAGACTGAGATAGACTTGTGTCATTGGTTTAGTTTTCATTATTTTACATTTTTCCTCTTTTCTCTTGTACACCCACGAGAATCTTTTTCTCTTGATTCATCTTTTCTGTTGCTATTCTTGACAAATTATTAAGATCAAGATTCTGGATATTGAATTTGCATATTGCAGTTCCTTGTATGGTGTGCAACTTTGTGAATACGAGGATGTGTTGATCAACTAGTGAACTGCTTTCTTGGTAAAAGAAATCTGCTTTGAAGCATCATGCTATCTCAACATTCATGAGGAGGCGTTTTATAAAGGCCTGCAATCAAAGCAGGCCTTTATGAATATGGTGTGCAGTACTGGAACAAGATTCTCTGGACAGATGGATCCAAGATGAAACCTGGACCAGAACCATGTGAGATGAACAGTAAGGAGGACTGAAACGAGAGATTACGATCCAAGGATATAGTACATCATCTGTTTAACATGGTGAATACTGAGAAATGCTCGGGACTTGAAAGAGCTGACAGTGGAGTTAGATGATCTGTGTTTACAGATGATTTATCTGTTAGGTAAAGCATCAGAATTTATTTTCAGCTCAGATTCAGGAAAGTGCTGCAAAACTAAGAGGTTGATTGACATCAAGCCCAATTTGGATAATTGTACAGGTTTAAATGTAAAACAGAATCATATGTGAATATTGATGCTAGAACATCAATCTGCAGGTAGATCTTTTAGTGCATTATTTTGAGGAGGCCTGTGTTCTCAGAATTGGTTTGTTTTTTAGAGTGAGATGAGATGCAAAAGGGAAACAATAATCATCAATTTTGAATGAGAGGCACAGCAAAAAGGCTGAATGCCTGCAGTGCTTAGAGGAATGAGGAAAAGAGGAAGATGGAGGCTGTGGGGGGGAGTGTCTCATTGTTGAACCACCGTTAGCTGCCAATCAACTTTTAGTGACTGTACAGGATTTGCAGCCAAATCATAAAAAAAACAGTTTTTACAATTATTTAACTTTATCCAATTAGTCTGGAATGCATAAAATTTGATGCATTATGTAAAGCAAATATGTTTCCTCAGTATTTCTGCCAGATACTACACTTAAGCTGATTGCCTAATTTAAAAATCTTTTGTTCTCGTGCACAATAGCATAATTACATACATAATTGCAAAATATTACCTCCCTGTCTTAATACTGTCCTTAAAGTTATTGTATTGCCTCAAAGAATAAGTCAATAAATACATTTGTGTGTTATGAAACTCTCTTCTCTGGCTGCCAATCTTTGCAACATTATTATATTTATAAATGTTTAATTATTGTTTGTTATACATGTTTTTTTTTGTAATTAGGGAGACAACTGCCAACCTGATCTTATTTGGAAGTTGAAAGAGTGCGGCTCATTATATCTGGATTAACGGGTTGTTTGATTTACTTGAAAGTTATGGAAACATCCAGCTAACTTCACACCAATCTAAGATCACCTTGCAAAAAAAAGCAGCAAAAAGGGCATTATCGCGTACGTGTAGTTGAGGTTCTGGTTGTGTTAAAAAATCTGAATTTCAGCTGCCGAAACCACCACCATACACCCCAGTGTAATCCCTAATTATCTTGTACATTTCTTGACAATCCCAATAAATAAATACTACACTTTACTGCATCACTTTGTTGCATCTATGCCTTGAAGACATATTCGTTTCCTTGTCATGCATTACAACCAGAAAAATCTGCGTTTGTTAGGATTTTATGATAGACATCAACACAAAGTTGTCAAAAATGCTGAGTTGAAAGAAAAGGGGAGCAAGATTTGATTTAGCAACAGATTGCTGTTGTTTTTGGTCTGGAGTTTGACTGGACCGCTCTAATATATGACTCTAAGCTAAGCTCTAAAATATTCCATGGTAGTTGAGTGAACCATGCCAGTCTCAAACCTTGAACAAATCTTGCAGTGTACCCTGTGTGTAGTCAGCTCTTGGTAGGTTTGCAGTTGTTCTATTTTCAGAAGATGAACTGAATATGCTCCATGAGATTTTCTAACCCTAGGGCATTCTCTTAAAGACTAACCTGCCCTAAACTTCTCCACAGTTTTACCTCTAGACATGTCTGCAGTGTTCCTTTATGTCCTGTGACATTGTTTGTTCAGTAATGTTTTCTAACCGAACTCTGAAACCTTCCCAGAGGACCTGGATTTATGTTGAGACTAAATTACACATAGATTTACTGCATTTAGAAATCAGATGACTTTTGAAGATAACTGGCTGCACTGAATTTTAAAGTATCAAAAGTAAAGAGGGCAATGAAAATCTCAGCAAAATACACAAATGTTTGTCCTGAGACAAAATGTGAAAAGGGAAAAGGGGTGTGAAAATCTTTGTAATTTACATTATGTCAGGTGAAACCTGCACTTTATTTTGCTGCAATGTTTCAGGATGCTCATTAGCACATCAATCATAAACTGTGTTTACAAGCACAATTTTGGCTAACAGTGAAATACCTAAAGCTTTGGTCCTGTTTGGCCTCTTTCTTTACAGGTTTTTCAAAACGAACGAAACCAAAGCAGAGAGAGAGATCAGAGAGAGCGAAGCAGAGATGGGGAGCTCCCTTTAACTGCGAGCCAGACGGCAGCACGAGACAGAGCCATCCAACAGAAGAGGAGAGAGATAGATGAGGTGGGGGGAGAGTGTAATTACACAAACAATTCACCCACATGTCTTGGGAGAGGAATGGTTATAAAGTGATCGAGAAAGAGCAAAGATAAGAGAAGCGGGGATTAGAGGAAGAATGTCAGAGTTCAGATCTTAGGAAGCGCTGGGAGACATGAGACAGGCAACAAAAGATTTGTTTGCTGTAGTATAAACATTAACTTTGTAGTGCCAAGCCCGAGGCAACAGAAGTGTCATTACTGTTTTTTTTTTTTGTTGTTTTTTTTTGCCAAGCCTGGCAATGAAGGCCTCGTTCACAGTTTAACATGACTGAGAGTGTTTTTCTTTCATGCTCTTTGTTTTCAAATCAGTCAAAAAGAAGCATGACAGGCTCACCTGTCTCACAAGAGACTCTGCACGTGCTTTAATGTTGCCTTCAATGTGACAGACATCACATGAGGCTGTTGCTCATCAGCTCTCTGTTTATGTCAGAGACTGTACTTGTGTTTCCACCCACTTGATGGAGAAGATGCTTTGGTTCCTTTTTTTCATATCTCCATGGTTGCAGGGATATAGAAGCACTGCAGCGATAAAATGTGAGGCTGGCGATGGATGCTGATGCAAAAATGTCCACAATAGTTGCTTCAAAGACTATTCTTGTGAACAGTCTGCGGGATTATACTTTCAGTAATAATACATGAAGAAGAGATTTTTTTTTTTTGGAAAATAATTTAGTTTTTTTCTCCTCTCTGTTTCTGTGTGTCCTCTAACACTGGTTCCTTTGCCCTAAAGCAGTGAATATTTTTGCCTTTCAGGTTTACTACCAGGAGTGTGAAATGTTCGGCCTTGTAGCAAAGATGCTAATTGCAAAGGATCCATCCCTGGAGCGTCCCATCCAATCGTCGCTGCAGGAGAACCTCCGGGACATTGGCAAACGCTGTGTGGATGCCATGGAGAAATTTATTGAAGACTATGACTCCAGGAAACTTTTGCACTAATCACACATCCGGATTTATGTGTCGTTTAGTGACAGAGATTCTCAGTGAGACTTTTTAAAAACATTTTGTCTGACGGAGTACATCTTTTTTTATTTTATTTTATTATTTTTTTATGTTTCCAGTCTAATTCTATTAAAAAATTAAGATTTAATGCTGACCATTTTAATGTGATTGTAAAATAACTACACTGGTAATTTTGCTTGAAATGAATTAAAACTGGAGAACTGTGTATTGACGTCTGATGTAGTTTATTCTCACTTCTCTATTTTCTAAATACTTTCATATTTTATGTGCACCGTTTAAACTGTTGCATGGGGTCAAATATTTTTAGAAACTTTTTAGGTCATATCTAAAAGCAGGCAAATGGGTCAAATGATGACCAGGACACATGCAGCTCTTAGATAAGATACGGTGCATTCAGAAAGTATTCACAACGATTTTACCACATTTTGCCATGTTACAGCCTTATTCCAAATCGCATTAAGTTAATCTCTTTACTCAAAATTTCAAATATCCCATTTTTTTCCCAGTGTGAAAAAGAAGTTTCAGATTTATCTAAATTTGATTAAAAAAAAATAGAAAACCAATTTATCAAATTTACATAAGTCATGACATCTTTTACTTGGTACTTTGTTCATCCACCTTTGGCAGCAAGTTTTTATATATATATTTTTTAATATGATGCCACAAATTTAGTACACACAGTTTAGCCCATGCTCTTCAGTACTTCATCAGTTTGGATAGAAGCTGTCAGTGAAGCCATTTCCAGATCTTTCCAGAAAGGTTTAATAAGCTACAAGTCTGGATTCTGGCTTGTCCTCTTCCGAACATTCACAAAGTGGTTCTGAAGCCACTTTTTTGACATCTCGGTCATCTTGGTTGTTTTCCTGCCGAAAAATGTCACCCCAGCTTGAGATCAAGACCACACTGCAGCAGGTTTTTATCCAGAATATGTCTGCACATTGCTGCATTCATCTTTCCCTCTATCCTGACTAGCTTATCAGTTCTTGTTGCAGCAAAATATCCCCATATTATGATGTTGCCACTACCATGCTTCACTGAAGTGATGGTATTGATCGGGGGATGATCTGTGCTTGGTTTCCTCCTAACATGATGTCTGGCATTCATACCAAAGAGTTCAATCTTTGTATTACCAAATTAAAGTTGTATCGGTGCTAAATCTATAGTTTAGAAAAACAGACTCGTCAGGAGTGGGTGGACCATGTAATACTGAAGAAACTGTTTTCAAGTGTGTACATGGCAATGATTTTTTATTTTATTTTTTATTTATCGGTGTTCAGTTGACACCTTATCTTAAATTACTTGGATCAGTATCGAGGACAAAGACATTTTGATTGGGACTTTCCTTCTTATGAGCAATTCAGTTCTATGGGATGAGTAGCTAAACATTAGGAAAAAACAAAATAAAACAAAACCACGTCAGGCTTGTAGGCCAATAGTACTCTGGAACAAACAGAGCACAAACAGAAACCTTGCTTTGAGAAAAAAGTAGTACAGTCCAACTCACTTTAAAGTTTCCTGGTTAAAGTACACTTTATTTTCAGTATGAGACAACAACAACAAAATTCACATGCAAGCCTCCCCATTTCTATGATGTTATACAAATAATGATTCTTTTGTTACAAAATATATAAATATTTAAGACAATATGTACAAGACATTTACAGTACTTCATCTATTATTAAGGTGTATTACTATATAAACATTTAGCAGGTATTGTTTGTAATATCATTATAATTATTGTTTGCATTAGTATTATTATTGTTAATATCATTATTATTAATATTACTATTTAATTATTCTTAACCATCTGTAAGTAAAACAAAGCATGTTGCAGAAAAGAAAACAGGACCATACCTGACGTTACTGTGCCTGAATGGGCAAGGAGCAGAGGCTGCCTGGCGCTCTGTCCTTGGTAAAGCATGGAGAGCTGGCTATGTAGAGCACAAGTTTCAATAGACTTTTATTTTTATTTTTGTACAAGCTGATAACAGGGCTAGGAAGCCAACACTATATTCCAGCAGCATTTTGATTCCACAGAGGTAAACAATGACGTAGCTTGGAATCTAGCACATAGCTTTCACTATCCCAGCACAATTTCTTGTCGGTCCGTGTAGAAGACGTCGGCTGCTCAGGGCTCGGTTCTCTGAGCTTGCAGGTCGCTGCAGCTTTGCTTTCCGTTTCAGACTATAGAAATTGTTCAGATTCTCTGTAACATGAATACACTCACAGACAGACACGCACGTACACCATGTTATATACCTTGACCACGGCATTTTAAGCAGTCCAATTCATTAGTGCTTCCTGGTGCCATCTTTGAATTGGTCTCAGTCACTGTAAACATTCTTGTTGTGTAAGCCAGCTGAGCTTCCTCTTATGATTAGATCATTCTGTGTAGGTGTACACAACCATACAGTGTAGAGTTGTGTAAGCTCACAAGCCCAAAGAAATTGGCTTTTTTATCCCTCAAACCCTGCCAAACACAGAAACACACACACACCCCGAACACACTCTCAGCTGTCTTACTCTCACCTTCCCACTCATTCTGTTCCTCCTCTCAAGCACTTTCTTCTGTCTTCTTACCTTTCTAATTCCCTTCGCTCTTCTTCCCTTCCCTTCTCATTTCCTTGCTCTACATCTAGGAAATTATACAGTTTTTGCTCTTCCTCCTCTGGCGGCTGTGGAGCTGGCCATGAATCGGTCCGTGCAGAGGCCCATGATGGGCCCCTATCCCAGATGGGCTGTAGCGGTGGCGCAGCTCCTCATTGTTGATGTAGCACAGCTGCACAGGCCGAGGAATTGGATCGCTCAGGTAATACCCCTCATCAGCCTCAGATTCAGAAGAAGAGGAGCAGCTGGAGCACCACGGGTCAGCAGCCTCCATGTAGCCATCGTTCCAGCATGGCCCTCCCAGTCCCACTGGTTGCCAGCCAGCATTTTGCAGAGTAAGGTCAGAAGTGGTGCGTGGGCACGGCCGGTGGGGCATCTGCCTGTGCCCGCCTGAGTCCACACCATACAACTCCCGAGCAGCTTGACCAGAGGGAAAGCGGTCGTAATCCTCTTGTACGCGACGATAGGGAAGCTCCACCATTTGAGTGGGTCGGTCTGCCACTAGGTGCAAGGCATTGTCAGAGCGCGAGCGGCGGGAGCGTTTGTGATGGCGACCACTGCGGTGGTGACCATTACCGTTAGTCCCACGGTGGTGTTTGTGGGGTCTCGGTTGTGGCTGCTGTTGCTGTGAAATTGACTCCTGGGCGTTTATGCGGCGGCGTGGCATCCTGTCACTCATAGGAGCCATCCGCAGGTTCCCACTGCTGCTCATCAATCCAACACGACCTTTGCCATCAAAGCCAGTGTCTTGCGGGCCATCCCAGTACTGGAGTGGGTACCCGACTCTCAGGGGAGTGTACATGTTGTTGTTATAAGGGCGGGAAGAGGACAGCGACTCTGTACTATGGAATTGGACTGAGGAGCTGAGGGTTCCCATGTTGCTCTTCTCCGACACGTTTACGCCTGAATCCTTACTCAGGTCAGGCATGGAGAACCTGGACAGATGCTCCTGGCGCTTAGTGGCCCCATCCAGAGAGTTACCTGTTAGGACAGGACATCAAACATTATATTTTCCAGTCACCATATGAATATATTTTCAATAACAAAGAGCAATATCTAAGAGTTCATTTATTTTAGCGCAAAAGTGAAATTTATATATCATATAGTGTCATTACATGCAGAGTGACAAAGTATTATGAATCAATGACATCATGGCAGCATGGCCATGATGCCATGATGCTCTTCTCTGAGCACGGAGATGATCAGCCTGTAACTCTGCTGAGGTGATAAGGAAGCATAGGCTGCTTAAACAACAATCTTTTCCTAATCTGCATTATTTGGATTCTCAGGATCCCCACTGGACCTCCTGACTCTGACCAAATACAATGCTAAATTTACTTTAAACTTCAAATAGGACTTTTGACTACTGAGGGACAGTCCAGTCCCTTTTCTTCAAACCTCCTGAAGCTGTTTCTGACAAATAACAATGGCTTAAAATAAAGGAACGTAGATGACTCCAGACAACGTCAATGCCCTGTAAGTCTCATCCAAACTCTTAAATAGGATTTATTTTACAATCCTGTCAAAACTGCAGTAATCTTATCTGCACTATATTCAACCACTTGTTTTCAACCACTTGTTTTTCTTTCACAAACATTTCCAGAATTTTGCTTTAATGTAGAGCAGTACATTTACAAACTTCTCCTTTACCAGTTTTTACTTACCTGCATTGATAGATAATGATAAATACATTTGTATTATTCTTATGTAATATTAACATTTTCAGAGAAACTCACTTCTAAGTAACTCTTTGTTTTGAGAAGTAAGCATGTGAAATGTGCTTTTCTGTCTGTGCAGCAAAACTATGTTAATTAAATTGCATTGTCAGTGATGTTTTATTGTACTGTGATGCATCTACATAGGACTAAGTCACATTGTATGATTCATTACCTGCAGTATTGGACATAGTTAGTGAGTCCATAGATCCACGAGGCGTCTGTTCTAGTGGGGTTAGGGGCTCATTGAAGCTCATGGCAGTGATGTGGTTTCTCCTTGTCAGCGGGGGTCTGCCATCTCTCTGGAATCCATGAAGACTGGTACTCCTCTTGTCAGAGAAACCCTGATTCTGGCTGGACATCTCATTGAAGCTCATCTGGGTACGGAGCTTGTTGGGTCTGAACTCATCCTGGCTGTGATGGATCCAGTTCTCATTGAAAGAGTGGCCCCTAAGGGCAGCCATAGGGGTCCTCTTGGCATTGCCCTGCTCCTTCCCCCAGGAATCAGGCCTCTTGCCTGGATTGGCAGGACTCTGGGCAGGTGGATGAGCGTTTGTGTTGGGATTGTATCCCTGCCTGGCATTACACTGACCCAGCAGGTGTATGGATGCAGGGGTCGGGGAGGGATCCCTTTTCGGGCCCTCATATGAAGCTGGGATGTAGGGTTCGTCCCTACTCATCCACACTTGGTTAAGGCTTGGGGCTCGGCTCGGCGTGCGGCTCGGTGTACGGTTAGGTGTCCTACTCGGAGTCTGACTGGATGAAAGGCTTAGTCGGTCCATTGGAACAGAAAGGGGATCAATTTCAGCAGACAGGCGGTCGGGCATGGGTGGAGGAGCTGACTGGCGGGGCTCTGTGCTCCGGCGATCCTGCTCAG